GCCTGCCAGAGATAATAGTGACAGACAACGGAACACAATTCACTTCAACTTCCTTTCGCGAGTTGCACAAGGAGAAAGGGATCCAGCAAATGTTCTCACCATCCTAACACCCACAATCAAACGGACAAGCGGAACGGTTCGCGGATACCGTTAAACGTGCTCTTTGTAAAGCGGGACAAAACAAGGTCCCGAAGGAGGCGATCCAGTCTTTCTTGTGCATGTATCTGAATGTGCCAAACCGAAACGCCCCAGATGGAAAAGCTAATGCCGAAATTTTGTTTGCACGGAAGATCCGGGCATTGTTCGATAATCTTGTGCCAAGCAGAAAAGAAAAGCGTTGCAGTTGTCATGTGGAGGAAAATCTGACAGACAGGCGTCGTCATTTCGGAATAGGTGACATAGTGTACTCGCGAGAGTTTCGAGGACTGAGGAGGTGGTCGACAGGAAGAGTGATCCGCAGAAAGGGTCAAGTCATTTACGAGCTAATGGTAGCAAATGAAAAATTGGTCAGGCACGTCAATCAGCTGAGGCCGAATCACTGAAAGATTCAAAGTTCCACAAAACCGACATCCTTACCGTGGGACAGCCTACTGCGCGTTCAAAAGTTAAAATCCTATGATGGCGCACTTCATCGTATCTTAATAGCATTGTACCTTATCTATCACTTTTGATGGTTGACCTAAAGAAAGTCAAGAACACGCTTTAACAAGTACGACGCGGTATTAAAGCACAATCTTTATTCGCCCAAACACAAGCTATATCACCATTCACGCAGACTTAAGTCAATGAGTCACGTTTCCTAACCCCGTCGCACCACCTCTCTTGATTTCCGCTCGTTATACATCGATGCACTTTGGGGCCACGTGATGGAGTATTCCCTGCCCATTTCATCTCATATCTCCGCTTCTACGCGTTCCATCCCGATCGGCCCGGAATCGTTCGATAGCTCGTGATTTGACTGATCCTGGATGTATCAATCTGCTTGGGCCCGGTCCGTGAGGCTGCAATAACGACGCTTTTGTCTGATTTATTGCCTTCCCGACGAATACTCTCTCCGTACTGCCTGGCTCAGACTCACTGCCGTACGCCGCTCGTGACCCGTTCTCGTCTCGTTCCGTCAAACCAGCGTGGCTCCGTCTGCCCTCCCACATAACGTTCCTTCCCGTTTTGTCCGCCCCCTTTCTCATGGTTTTTCTGTCCTCCACGCACTCACTGCCTTCCGCCTCCCTTCAATGCTACGCAAACCGTTGTCGTATTGACAGATGTGCATGTGTTTCATTTTCCTCTCATCTACACATATTACAGTAAAACCTTCGAAGTTGACTACCACTATAGCTTGACAATTAACAGTTTTTTCAATGATTGAACGTTCACCATGGAAACCATATGGAACCAGACTTCTGCATGTTGACTACTTTCGTTCAGTCCCTTGAGTGGTTAACTTGCGGAGGTTTTAATGTATTTGGATATTATCACCGTGATCGTGTATATGCTGAAAATAAACCCATCCGGGTTCATAAAACTTATTTTGTTATAACCTGATTTGATTACGCAAAGAAGCGTCTGTGCACAGGTGTGCGATATGCGTACAGGGGGAATAAGTAAAGCTCAGCCGATGCGCAACAGTGCCCCAGTAGACAGAACAAGGAACAATGATTTATCACGGGATAAAAGCATGTGCTTGACACTTCCCGTAGGATGGTTGGGGTGAATACGATGAAATCAAAATATATGTGGGTCATCTACCAAACGTCTGCAGAGATGAATAGTTTGATAAATAACATAAACGTAAAATTAAACAATCGAGCGTAAACGTTCGGAAGTACACTAGGGTGCAGTGATGGTTGATGTAAGGCGTGGGAAAAGTAAAATATGGTCGCTCATTTTGGTCCATTTGATATATAAATCCTGTAGAAAAGCAAACTTAGCGTAATCCACAATAGAAGAGTCTAGGTAACAAAGTGCTGGGAGCTAAGTGTAAGCTCTAATCGTTTTTTGAAAACGTCCAAGGTAGGGGAGGATACAACTGAGTTTGAGAGTGCGTTCCAGGGTTGACAAACCCGAAGGGAAGAATCAGTGCGGGAACTCGTCGCCTGTCATCGGAATGTAGACGCAGTCCTCAGCTTTCACTCCCCTCGGATTCAAGAGAATATGTTAAGAGCTGGCCGCGGGAACCGTCACGTGTAATGTTCTCGGAGTGTGCAGTTAGGAAGCGTCTTCTAATTTTCTCTCTTGTCTTCCCTCATGGCACGCTAGTGCATATAGTTAAGCAACATAGTTAGTAGTAGGAGACAAATGCCAACCTTGTGTATTTGGCTGTCAGTGTGTCCAAATCAAGTCTTACACTCGGAAATATGTTCCACTTTGATTACTTCACCTTTCGCTCGCTCTTTGTCTGCTAGGTCCACTGGTGACGGTGGGTTCAGCCCTGCAATATACCATGATTTACTTACTGCTTCCTCAATACTCGTATACCATTTATTCACGTAAAAATAAGTGTTTGGTTAGTTAGCTTAGAATTCATCACACAGCTCACCATCTTTGGGCTTCTGTGCAAGCTTATTTGGCTTGATAATAAATACAGCCTTCCAAGCCTCCCTGGAGAAAATAGTCCTCATATATTGCCTCTTGCTGGCGGTGTAACCTTCTTGAGAAGTCGCTTCGAAGTCTGTGTTAATCGTGTTGCTGATACAATTGTGAGTTAATCATTGCTACGTCGTCTGTGTGGCCTTCCATCACAAACGTACATATCAAGTTATATGACACCAAAGAAGTGTAAAAATTCCGTGATTCTTGACGGACAGTATTCCCATCAGCTCCAAATGGCGCATCAGTGCAAGTTTGGAATCTCTACTAAAGTGCTTTCCGACTGCCACTTAAATACATTTGCACTGAATTTACTCTTCTGATCACAATAGAGGGATAGCTACATTAGTAAGCCTACTGCAACCTCCTCAGGTTCATGAAGCGGCATGTGAGTAGAACACACTTGGCGTTTTAACAGATTCAACAGACAGTAAACGTTTTGAGGTGGCTATGGTCAGTGACACTTAGGGCTTCCGTAATACGTTTCAACCGCTCTAAAACATGTGGTTTAAAGTTACCTCAGCGAGTGCAGATGTCAGAGAGAGAAAGAAAACTGGGACCCATTCACAGATCCGCCGAGGAGGATGTCAAATGGCACATATTGCGGGATAATCTAAACGACACATTAGATTGACATCCTTAACTGAAACACCATTACTCAGTTTGTAGTTCAACCTCAATTACAGCTGGTACGATGTAACGTTGTTAGAGCAGAACAAGGCAACCAAGCCCAAAGATCACACTCTGTCGACGGTAGTTACTGCTGACTGGTCTGAGCACTCTTTTGTTGTCAAGTTGTCAGTCGGTCGCTCATGTAAGTAGTTGGTGAAGAAGATGTGATAATACATGGGCAATACTGAGGTATCCAGGATGTCGTAGAAGTAGAGAGGCATCAAAGATTTCGTCATCATATCCAAGCTGTTAACAGTCATCGATTTCGGTGGCGTTCAATATTCCAACATATTCGATTCAACTGACATCAGTTATCTTTTGTTCCAGTAAAACTAACCCGTAAGCTTCAAACTAACGCGTCAACAGGTGTTTGACCAGCTTAGTACATATGCACGGTTTACAAAGGTCGTCTTCTGTGGCTTGATGATCGTTTTTACTCTAGCCGCACGTGTTTGTTTCTGGTGTCAGGTAGCCTAGTAGAATCCACGGTAACCACTGTTTCCCATTCTTAATACAAAGACTGCGGTGAGTTAATGTGGGTGTGGAGAAAGTATGCATTAAACAATTAACATGTATTCGGACTATGTTAACTCTTCACTTCTCTTTCTGCATATTTTACAACACGGGAACTGCCTAAATTAGCTACACATAGATCCGTTTAGAGAAGTCGAACCATAGAACTCGCTTGGAATCAGCCTAAACCAATTCGCAATCACTGCCGAATATGGGAGGACTACGCACTCGGTAAGGGATTTCTGGTTCCAATACAGGACTTGGTCAATTGGTACTCGTCATTATAAAATAATTATTGGAATTAGCGGTTCCATCCGTTAAACCTTTTAGCAGTGGCATCTTCGGTGGTCACCTCATCATGACAGTTAACATGTGCAGCCACTGGGTTCGTATAATGAGATTGTGATATTAGTCTGTCAGTCGATGATGTGTTGTACAACTTGCGGTATGATCGATGTGACCACAATGCTCGTGTACCTACGTTGCACCGAAAGTAAGTAGAATTACGAATACCTGGTTGGAGCTCCGATAGCATACTACAGATGCACGGTAGTTTGACCTTGCCCTCGGGCCCAGTGGACAATGTTTAGAGACTGAATCGTCCACTTGCACCTGGTCATGTAATTTGTGTGTTTCTTCGGTCACCTACAACACCACTGACGCTACATGTACGCCTGGCTGAATGATGTCCTCGATTGTTCGACTAATTAAATATAACGCATCATGGAACGAACGGTTCTGTCTGCATGTCGTCATCATGAATAGGAGCCAGCAATAAGCTAGTAAGGGCATTACAGAGCATATCAGACATGGTTGAATTGAAAAATCAGTGGTGTCGATCACACGAAGCATCGATGCGATCAGATGCTTTCTCAGGCCCAGTTTGACGGGATCCCTGAAAGTTTGTGCCAAGCCCAGATGACCGACTATGTCTGGAGTGCGTTAGAACGAGGAAGATGAGTCAGCTGATAATTTAGAATATCACCTAGCCAAAGGTACTGGGTGGCGTAATTGGTCAAAAGCACCTTTGTGCTTCTGATTCCAACAGCTTTTAGCTAGAAATAGACAGTTGCTACAGCTTAAGGCTTCGTGAAGTTCAGCTGGGGTGATAGTCTGACAGAAGGATGGCCCTACTTTTCACTGTATGCTTCAGAACAAATACTATCAAGAAGGACATTCTTTCTAAAAGAGAAGAAAGCGGGTCTTTGGTTTCAAGCTAAATTTCTCTAGGTTTATGGAGGAAAACAGAGTATTTTATTTCGAAGCTTCAGCCAGTACACAGCATTCAAACTGCGGATAAAACAGGTCGGCTTTGAAAGAAAAATAGTTGACTGTTTTGTATTGTATTTAGGAGACAATATTCGCATCGAAAGGAGCATCCAACGTGCAGCCCGTTTTGATGGCGTGTTACCGTCAGGGTGAACCTGGAAGAAAGGTATGAATACAGTTTTCCTAGCTAAAACGGAAGTATTGTTATAGCAGTATTACAAAGGCATGAAGTTGATACTATACCACATGCAAGATAGACGGATTTTGTATATATTGGAAAATTTATGTGCCGTATTTAGGGGTAGCTTTCGGATATGGACAACCGTCTTGGTGATAATTACATACTACTGTTACGGCTCTAATTGTACGAATGACATAGCGATCAACATCAGTTTTGTACAGTGCGGTCGACGTAAGCACAGTTCCGTTTGGTGCAGTGCGTTTACTGACAACCTTAAATGAAAAATACGCTTCCAGTTCGAGGAGACCGTTTGAGCGTCAGGCCGTTCAGGTAATACTTTTATTAAAAGCACAGCTGAATGGATTCCTTAGATAATGGCAGATCAGGCTATAGCTGAATTCATAACTGGGAGCAAAGAAGTACATACTTCATTTGCCAAAACAGTGTTGTGTCCATTAATGCCCACAGTACATTTGAATGTTGATTCACAGTTGGGTAATTATTCTAGATTTGGATTTAGGTAACCTGGGACTGGTGTTTTAGTGTTCTGTTAGAGAGATGGTCTAAACCGTAAAGGGGATGTCACCATCTCTTTACTACATACTCAAATTTACCAAGTGGGGTTGAAAACAGGCAGCGCCTGATTACCCGCTATACATCCCAAGTCATTGATCTACGCATTCCATTCGCGACTGGTTAATTTTGGCAACTTTCGTATTCTGCATAACTGCCCTTCACTCACTTCGATGGCAGTTGCGTGGCAATTCCAAATCCTATTCAGTGCGCATTCACATTTCAATTCCTATCTATTTCTGACCGATTCCCTGTGCTACTTTTAAGGTGCAAGCCAAAAACCTATGCAATACAAAACCAGTGTGCTACATCATCGATGATTATCGTACCCGGGTAGATACGTTATGCCCTGATCCATCCAATAAAGGAAATATCGTCAAAGCGTTTTGCGCTCTGTATTTCTTAGATACACAGCAGGGAAATTTGCACGCATGGGAACTGTAACGCATCAGCAACAACATAATGTGTTATCTCCGGGGCCGTGTTCAATGAGATTTCCTGTCCTCCTTTGAGTATTGAGACCTAGCACAAAACGGCATCGAGTCGGATTTCCGTTCTACTACAAACCAATATCTGTTGGGTAAGATGAAGCAAATCATAGGACCAGCACACCAACCAGACCCTAAAAGATTGCCGACGATATGGGGTTTCTCGGTTCTATTGACCGAATGGGTTTTCAGTCCGGTGATGCTGTTTCCAGTGCAACGATTGGTCACGCTTACTAACCACAAGCTTTTGAGCTCTACTCTCTCCACATGCTAGCCGTGAGGTTGAATGGGAGAATGGCTAGTCAGGTGAGCCCGCTAATGATCAGATGAACGACATCACCTGCCTACCCATCTGCACTTGACCACAGAGCGCGTGGAATTACTGGATTGTGCAGCAGTTGAACTAGTAGATGGAAGACAGTTAATAAGATAGTCAGTGGGGCGTGCGCATACAGGGTGAATACATGGCTCGTATCAATGAGTTCATCGTCTAAATCTGCCTGCGCTGCTGTACGTGGTGCACATTATTGAGGATTAGTGAGCAGTAATTTAATACTTGAAGTATTTATTACGCCAATCAAGTGGTCGTGACTTTCAGGGAGGTTTCGAAAGCAACAGTCGACGCAGCTGCTGAGAAACGCATCGTTTCGTCAGGTCAAGTGAACTAGTACAAAAGTTCTGTGACATTTCGTAGTGCATGGTAGCAATGACTGTACAATAAGAAAGGGTCTCCATAGGTAGATTGCAATCCCGCTTTGAGATGTCATCTGGATTTTTGTAGTCGGTGTGAGAACGTAGTATTCGGTACATCTATAACGGGCAGCTTATCTCCGCACTGTTATACAGAACATATTTCCTATATGCAGCGGCAAAAGACAGAAAAGTCGCACTAACGATTATTGTTTCAACCTCACTGCTCTACTTGAATCTGCATGAAACTGTTGCAAACTAAGCCCATTCATCTTCAACATAAGTTTCTTTGCGATCTATCGCTTCTCAGTAATTACTGTATGTATGCTTTCCCAATTTATCCGTATTTCGCAGACCAGTGGTTAAAGACATTACCAAGTTTCGCGCTACGCTGCACATAAATCTTGCACTACGCTAATCGGCTTTGGCTCTGCTATTTTAACTATAGGACTGCTTATTCACAATTTTCGTCCTGTCACAGCTGATTGTGCTTAGAAGTTGGACGTCATCACATATTCTGTCTGCTGTATTTGAAGAACCGTTCTCACAGCAACATTTAAACGTCCATTAGTCGAAGGATACCTTTTTCTTATACCCTAAGACGTAAGGTAATTCCGTTGTCGCGTGCACCCTGCTCGATATGGTCCCGCAGATGGTGTTGCACAGATAGTGATAAATTTTACATCCTATTTCCAGAAGATTCTGTTGGTGGCTGACCTCGTCAACTCCCTAAGCTGGTAAGCTATTGCAGCCAAAAAGGATGTCTAACATTAAGCTATTTCATCCCCCTACATAGAATCATCCAAATCTCCATTCAACCTCAGTTAACTAGTGCTGCTTGATTGGTTGTTTGCAGGACCGAATGCTCGACATCATTGAAATACACATAATAATGCTGGCTTGCGTACCAACCACTGAACACTTAGCTATCTCTATGCCACGAAATCCAGGGTTACAACTTTCAAATCTATTAGTTATCCGGCAGATGCTTCTCCGTCAGCTGCAGCAACGTGAGAACTTTGCTCGCCGGCTGAGCGGCAAAGAAAAGCTGCAAGCTATCTACATGTCTCACGTAATTTCTCCTCATGATGTCCTGCGTCTAGCTAAAAATCTACAATGATGCAGCGGTGAGTAGAGATTTATTTTCCTAGATGAAAGCAATTTCACTGTGATTTCCGATTCGTAGCCGTCGTCGTTAATAGCTGGGGCATTATTGGACAGGTGTTCATTGGTCTGTTGTATCATCACAAGCTAATTTGTCATCCGTAAACAGAGTGTATATACTTCATTTATTACAGAAGAGTAGTAGGGGGAGTTGAATGGTATAGGTAGAAATTCGTCACATCTAGACTCGCTCAGGCAGCAGCCACACTCCCGGAAAAGCACTGTACGCGCGTTTCATCCTTTCGGGAATCATCAGCAGTGCGCATTCCATCGGACCCTTGACCAGAAACGCACCACATTATCTCCATTTCGCTTCCAGTTCCTTAACCCAACTGACAGTTTTTAAATCTGCACATAGGGACATTTTGATTGTTTGTACGCATGTTCAACTTAATGTTTACTCGAAATATTTTCACTGGATGGTATTTATCGAATCCTGGGCATGACGCTTGAACTGGTCCTAAGGACTAGTGAAGATTCGCAAACTCCTACCCATCGCTTGCTTTTACTGAACTCAACAAGAACAAGTTTCACTTAATAGCGGAGTGAAATTCTTCAGGCAACATTTGTTCATCAATGCAACGGAGCATCATCCTACTTGCAAGCAAAAGTTTAACTTACCAGCTTTGAACAGGACGACAGCTGTTCCACGGACGTAGAACTGCACAAGAAAGTGTTCTTCGTGCGAAATGTAGCTATCATTGGTAGAAAAGCCAAGGAAAACGAAAGAATATACATACGCGAAGCTAACTAGAGTACTTACATGCGGGAGTTGCCAGACAACATCAAAGTGTCAATTATGGAAACAGTTCATTTCATGAACAGAACCTAAGCTTAGAACCCTGTTATGTTGATGGCATAATTCTACATCATTCATCCCCGTTATCTTCTCATCTCCTTACATGTGCAAGTATCTTCAAGAAGTGGGAACAACAACACCCAACACAACGTTGTTACAGTTGAGTCTGTTCACTACGGTTGAAGACACACCTGTTGGGATTGAAGGCCGCATATCAAGGTAGTAACCCGCGTGTTGCCTTTGGGTTCTTCCATAGATATTTAGTATGCAGCTGTGACTGCGCTGGAACACACCGAGCAAATATATGAATTCATGAATTTTGAATATGATATATCCCTTCCAGAATTACGTAGGATACAATTGGGTCCTTTTCCATCTTGTAGCAGTGTTCACTGACTGAGCATAGAAGAAGTTGTTCAGAATCCACAATACCGCTACATACGTTTGACTTTTATTTGATAATTTTGGAACACAGCAGCACTACATTACAACGAACTGGTCAAAAATACTCACAGAACAGATACCAGTGGCTATCTACTTAAACGCCTGCTTTATAACAATTTATAAGTGCATCTCAAGGGATGGTGCAACTGAAATCTCCAAATAGTGAAATATTCAAAGTCGCCGTCACAGATAGGGGTAACCAATATGAACCGCGTTACTTGTCAAACAGAACACATAAGTATGACAAGTAAAAGTTTTCACCAACATTATCAGATACAAATGAAGCAGAATAAACCCCAATGCATCGCGATAGACTAAGAATATCTGACAGCAGACCGAAAAGCGGCCATTGAGAAAATATTGCGAAGCAGCAAATAAAGATTTGAAGGATTAAAATTCCAAATGTCCACAGCGCTATCCTCGAGCATCCGATTACTACTGGGCATCAGATGCTGACAGAAGACGGATTCAAGGTGGTCTACACTGTGTCGAGACGCGTTCCCCAAGGACGCAGAAAACGTCTGCTGGTAACTGCCGAAGCAATGACGATTAGGCTATTACTACCTAAGTTATGCAAGCCATGGAAGCTAATACAATCTCTCAGTTTGCCCTGGCCGTGACCAAGGTTCTCTCCGTATCTGACAGAACCCGCGGCCAAACTGTGTTTTTTCCTCATCAGCCAATGCGTTCTTACTTTTGCTGTTTGTCTATGTGTGCGCGCGAGACGAGGTGTCGTAACTTCGACCACCTGAGTTCATTGACACAACTATCGATTGGCTTCACTGAGCCTATTTCAAGTGCCATGTAACCACTACCACTCGAGATCTAGTTAGCTTCCCCGGTTGCTTAATCTTCTTCTTAAATTTAAACGTCGCAAGAGAATTATCGTAAAGAGATATCTCTTCGCAACTCTCCTTCTTATATCTAAGTAGACATAATACACGAGTTAAAGAAACGCAAGCAGCTCGCCGCGTTTTCCAACTTCAGCAAGTGGTTAAAGTTTAGCGCTAGGCTTGCAAATGCGATGACTGAGATACGATTCATAGAGGAGTGTATTCAATGCAATCAATATCCCAGAACGTACTGGAACGCTCTGAGAAGTTGTCACGTGCGTCCAACCATAAAATCTGAAACGAGATGCTACAAAGATTCTGGAAGTTGCGCATTCTCGAGGTCCTGAGTTAGAACGACTTTGTTCGCACCATCAATTATCCCTGGATGAGCTCAACGCAGCTGATGCTACTTTGTTTGAAGGTTACCTGCAAGAGGTAGATAGGAAAGCCGCGGATAGGGAGTACACAATACTGCTTAAAAGTGGGGAACCAAACACACCTGAATCGAAATTTCCACTATTCCCAGAGCGATAAGTACACAATCTTGCCGACATACAGTTGAACAAGTGGCACTTGGAAGCTCTGACGCTGGGGCCAAATTTCTGTTCCTCATGTCCAAGGAACGGGCCGATGCATGTATAAACACAATTCGAAACTTTAATGTAACAACTGACTAATTTAATCCCTACCTCTCCCCTCTCCAAGGACACTTGCAAAAGTAATTTGGTGCACCTTTCTCAGCATTATTTGACTCGAAAACTGCAATCCTGTAAAGGAAATGACATCTAATCCTGACGTTATTCTCTCCCGACCAGATAAAGGATCGGGTTGGGTACTGATGATCAAAGAATACCTGCTAATGATGCACGCTATTGTTCAGGGCACGACCAAATTCATGCTTGATGAAACACAGAAGGATACCAGCACGAACCGTGAAATTGAACATCAAAATACTGAAGAAATTGAAACCACAAAAGTATATTGATGACCGTTTACTCAAACATCTAACGTGTGGTTCGCATGCACCTCGCCTGTACGGACTACCAAAAGTGCATAAGCCCAACGTACCGTTGCTAAGTGGCTTGTTGAATAACTCTAACCAGTACGCAAAGAGATAACAGTCCAAACTGTAATTAATACGTTTGATTTTGTAAAACAAATGGAAAACCTGAATGTGAGGAATACACTGTTGCTCTTACTTGGCGCGGAGGCACTTTTGCGAAGGTTCCTTTGCTGGAGACTATTAAATTCATTTGCGAGTGCGTAGCCGATATCAAGACTGCTATTTGTATTCCTATCCAAGGGGTTAAAGAACTACTTCTGCGCTGCACATTTAACAAACAATTCTCGTTTGTTAGAAAGTATTACCGGCAATAACCTGGAGTTGCAATGGGGTCCCTTTAGGAGCACTCCTCGACAATTTCTTTCTTGCGAAAACTGAACGTGGCCTACTCCGGAACGTTATCTCATCCTTTCATTCCTATTGGCGGTATATGGAGGATACATTCCTCATATGCGACTCCCAAAATAACCACCTGCAGATACTTGACAAGTTTACCAACGAGCATTCACAGTTAAAATTCCCTCGCGAAGGTGAAAAGATGGGAAAACCCCGTTTTTGGATGTGTCGTTACGGCGGCGAGCTGATGGGTCGCTTGAGAACAGGGTCTTTCAAAAGAGGACATGGGTTAGCCAATATACGCATTTTCTTAGTTATGTGCCAATGAAATACCAACGAAATCTCGTGCGCTGTTTTTATTATCACGCCGCATGAATCTGCAGCCCGGAAACATTAGGTGCTGAGAAGAATTTCGTTCACGCGACCCTACAAGCCAAGGGGTATCCCGCTTCATTTAACAAGACATTCTGCCATTTGTGATCACCGTGAAACAATACCACCTGTGAAGAAAAAGGAGGTTTTCCTGTCGGTTCCTTTCAAAGGGGATATCCCCTACAAGTTAATGAACAGAAGACTGTCGACCGCAAATAGCCAAACGTAACCGGCTGCTAGAGTACCCATACTTGTCGAGACAGTTCCGCTCATCACCGAAAGTCTCAAAGACAGAATCCGGGTTCGTTCCGAATCATTTATGTTATATCCATTCACCTGCACCTGTGGTGCAAGGTACCTCGGGCACATGACCAGGCGTCTATCTAAGAGGATAACGGAACACTGTCCTGCCTCTCTACAACATGGTATGGTTAAGAATGTTCACAGCGCTATCCTCGAGCATCTGATTACTAATGGGCATCAGATTCTGACAGAAGACGGATTCAAGGTGGTCTACACTGTTTCGAGACGCGTTCCCAAAGGACTCAGGAAACGCCTGCTGGCCATTGCCAAAGCAATGTCAATTAGGCTATTACAACCTGAGTTATGCAAGTAAAGGACGCTAATACAAGCTCACAGTTTGCCCTGGCCGTGACAAAGATTCTATCCGTATCTGACAGAACCCGCGGCCAAACTGTGTTTTTTCCTCATCAGCCAATGCGTTCTTACTTTTGCTGTTTGTCTATGTGTGCGCGCGAGACGAGGTGTCGTAACTTCGACCACCTGAGTTCATTGACACAACTATCGATTGGCTTCACTGAGCCTATTTCAAGTGCCATGTAACCACTACCACTCGAGATCTAGTTAGCTTCCCCGGTTGCTTAATCTTCTTCTTAAATTTAAACGTCGCAAGAGAATTATCGTAAAGAGATACCTCTTCGCAATTATTTTTCTTATTTCTGAATGGGCATAATTCACGTGTTTTCAATTAGTTGCTTGAGCACAATTATTGGTTCTTTTCAGTACACTGAGAGTTTGCGACGTCGAATATTTGAAGTGCGCCAGCTGGTTAGATACAGCGTGCACCAGTCATCGTACAGCAGTGTCACAACAACGCTAAATGGCTTAGGGAGACCAATGCAAAGGTTCCATGGTTCGCTACAAGTGACCCAAATCGTAGGTATCGTAAGATAAAACGCAGTGGGGACGGCACTAAACTCGATTACCATTGTGCTGCATTAGGGTCATTGCATATTTAGAGAAAAGCCGTTAGTGTGCGATAGTCGTAGAAATATCATTCGTGGTGCTGAATTCCTTTGCATTCGGTTCTATATGGCTTATGGGCGCAGTCAATGCTAGCCGTAGTTTGCAAAGCTCTTTTCACGTGCAAAAGCAAAATGACTTACAGTCAACGGACATGAGAACGAATCTGGAAATGATCGGGTACTGGTTGGGTAATAGATGAGAAATAAGTGCCTAATAACCTTTTGTCATGACAACAGGAAAACCGGCATGTTTAAAATTATTCGTCTCAAAAACTTAAAAATCCTTTTTCCTGCATCAACTTTTCTTTCCAAAGAATTAAAGACCAAAATAAAGTATGATAAATAATCAAATGAGGAAAAGGCAATTTGTTGACAAAACAGCCACATTATGCTACTGCGATTTTGGGGTAACTGAAATTGATGCGGTTCTGATATGCAAACCCTGAAGTGCGAAACCATCGTCTCAGATCGCATAAGCTCATGGAGCCACCTTTTTGAGGGTAGAAATTAGAGGGCTAAACCTATCTCATTCATGTGTGCACAGCGAATATGCTTGTTACTAAAGTTTACCCAATTGTCTGTATATCAGCTGGTTACTTGTCTGCCGATCGTGAATGGGATCACGCTTTAGGTTCGCGTTTTTGGCTTGACACTTGAAGGAGGGGCCTAGCATGACCTAAATTGACCGTGGTAGCTCATTTTTGGATGCAGTCTATGGATGACAAGTTCCGCGTGAGTGTGAATTTACTCGTCATTCGGTTTTAATTACCCATGTTAGGTAACACCATTGACCCACACTAATTCTGCCCGTAAAGTAAGACGCCGATAGTGTGACCACTACCATGTGCATAGATGAGAAAACTTTAGGTCCCCCGCCTCGGTCGTCAGCACCAGCCCGCTGATGTTACAGTAAAACGACATAGACTACGCTACTGAAAGCGGGATTGGAAAATCTGCTTATTACTTGAATTGCCACCACTCGCTCTACGTGCTCTACTGTTCACCCCACTCATCTCCGCTGGCGTGACAGTGACCACACCCGTCAACGTGTATCCATAGGTGGAGCCATTTGTCGGTGATGGCATCAGTCAGTTTGAAAGGCATGTTTTACTTTGTAAGCCGTTTTAATGATAATGACTGACCCCTATACCGTTTCCATGTTATTCCACGTCAACTAAGCGACACCGAATTCTGTGGCGTCACTTGGAACAGCGTTCACAATGAGGACAGCAGCCGAATCCAATTGAACAAACATGCACCACATTTGATCCACAGTGGCGCAGTCAATAAATACAAATAGTGGCAATCAAGAATTTTGTTTCCTAACGAAATTTACAACATTTGATATTACGAGAATAGCAAAATTTATGGACATACGCAACGCACCAAGCAAACTTTCTTCCAACTATGCAGTGCCACAGTTCCTCGTATCGTCTGTCGAATTCTTTCTTAAGCAATTCCGCAATCTCCCTCTCCGTCTTGTACAGGTTCATCGCTTCCAAACATAATTCCACCGCGTCTTGTTGAAGATTTGTTTCCACCGTCCACTTCGTTGACGACTGCTGTGTGAATCCCATTCAAATTATGCATAAAGTGAGCTTGACCATGGTCTGCTAGCATACCGATGGTGTGCATGCTGAAACAGGCGCACTGTGAGTGGGTGGACACACTATGATGCACAATTATGTGAGAGCGATATATCAAACGGTTACCCAAGGACGCGACACAATTTAACTCAAGAATGTGCTTAATGAACGAATGAAGGATGAATATCCAGCACTAACACACACGCCACGGAGAGGGATAAATAAGAAAATGGAATAACACATGAGGATATATATATATATATAACCACAAAAAATTGTTGTCAGAGCTAAAATCACCGAAATAATTTATTAACTAGTTCCTGAATGAGTAAATTTTCATCGGTTAAAAGCGTAACAAGCAAGAAACTATTGTCCGGGCGTGTACCGTTTTTAGCTCCGTCTGGTCGGTCAAGTTTTACGCATTCTTGCAATACCCTGTAAAAGGAGTGTCCCCGAAATCAGTGACTATTTTATATGTAAGTTTGTTGCAGCAGTTGTTACAGCAGTGAGTAGACGAAGTGATTTTGACCAGTCCTGACCTTGAAGTGTCACTACACATTGAGCGCTGTTGCACTGTTATTGCCGCTGCTTTCTAGTCCGCACTCCGGCGACAAGAAAAGATCACGGAAGAGTAATAGCTCAAACAGAGCAACAAAATTGCACTGACAAAACGATGGATCAACAAACCGGGTACGGAAGAGACCTGTGACTTTTAACATAAAATGGCAGTCTCTTAACTTTAGTGAATGTTTCCTTAACGTGAAGGGACCACGTAAGCCCACTGGACAGTAATGTAGCCGTTGTGAATATACTATATTTTTTTCTTTATTTGCAGCACCCGTTATCGACCATTTTGTGTAATTGATTTAAATTAACAAATTTTGTATACACAGCTTCGAACGCACTCGCGTCCTGACTTGGTCTCGTGATTACTGTGCATACTTCATTGCCTCGTCTTTCCAGCAGTCGGACCTATAGCTTTGAATCAACGGTCGGCATCTGACTGACGTTAACCAAAGGAGGGATAATAACGCAAGTGTGTTTTATCGTATTGCAACTGTTTTTGATTAAGGTTGTATTATACATCCGGACTGGAGCATTTTACATAACGACACACTACAAAATTTGCTATTCTGAGTATGTTTTGCGCAAGCGTAATAACTTTTTCTCCTCATTGTGACAAAACAACCTTCCCGTTGCATGTGCCTAGCCTATCTTTGACATACCAAAGCCACATATATTTTTATCCAATTTGACTACATTTTCTGTTTTCGCAAGATTACGTTGCAGTCGACAAGGTTTTCATATGTTACTGCTTATTCGTCTACACACGTAACTTAAGTAATCACGAATATTCTCAATCCTATGCCTACCGAATCACTATATGATAAGCTTAAATTATATGAAGCTTTAAGCAGTCAACTTGAAGCGCACTGCTGCATCCGACGAAGCACGCCTACGGTCGCTCCTCTAAGGCGTCGAGCTTGGCGATCGTACAACACCACAGCTCCTTCGAAACATGTGGTCACTTGTCCGTTCGTCGACCTTAGATGATTCCATTCTTCGCCAACCTTAGAGTAGGTATCGTTCGGCAAATACAATGGCGATATTAACTCTTTTGGCGCATGACCTCGCAATAAATAAGCTGGCAGAAACGGTCGACAGGGTGCACGAAAGCTTCGTTATAAGTCCTATGAACCGTGCGGCTGAGACATCTACTGCAAGCATTTCATCGAATGATACACTACAGTCTATTAACGAGTGACTCTCATGTTTGGAGTCCAGTATTTCTTATGTTAGACGTGATCGAATGCGACAACACAGATCCTCTTTCAGAGGCAGGCCTCCCAGTAACTCTCGCAGACGATCATCGCGCCCTTACTGCTACTTCCACTACCGCTTTGGTGATGTTGCATGGAACTGCCGCCCAAGGTCCACTTACCCAAAGGCCTTTGCAAACTTCAAATCGAACAACAACAAGGCCAGTCAGTAATGTCGACGGCTGTCATGGGTCTAATTTTCAGTCGCATCCTGTACGTATTAAATTCCACGACCAAACCCCACCTTTTGGTTTACACTACAGCGATGGTAAGTGTTAGACCCCGATCCTTGAGAAACATTCCCTTCAGCTGCTTAAATGAAGCTGCAGGCCGCTAAACAAATGAAGCTCCCAAGTTATGGCCAAGTACTCCTCACGCTTCGTCGTGGACTATGTTGCGTTTCATTTTTACGATCGCCAACTTACTAATTCCTATCCTCGGTGTAGATGTTTTCAGCAACTTCCACCTTGTAGTAGATTTGCGTTGTGGGATGTTGTAAGATGGTACCACCACGTTAACTGCTTCCGGCAAACAAATTGCAATGAACGCCATCAGACTTCGAATAATTATGCCCGAACGTACGTCATAAACTGCATTTTGTAGTAGTTCCCATCTCTCATCAGAGTGAATAACGACTTGGCGGAACAAAAGCACGAGTGGCAATATCCCATCGCTGCAACTGGGCCACACATGTCATCAAAACCACGACGACTTACATTTGAAAATAACTATAAACAGCTAGGAGAGTTAGAACACATGCTCAAGCTCGGAATCATTCGTCCTTCAAATAGCGGTTGAGCACTTCCTCCACACAATGTGCTTAAAAGGACCGGTGACTGGCGTCTATGTGGTGACTATCAATGGAACAATGGAACAATGGTTTATGACGGGTATAAAAGCAATGCTTGACAGGTCCCGTAGGATGATGAGAATTAACATCGTAAAAGTAAAAAATCGTATCGATGAAAGTACGTGTGAAATGCATGACTCACCAAGGGAATGGAGATGCACATAAACAAGTAATCCAATAGGAATTTTAAGTGGATTCCGTCCACGTTCGTTGTTCACTAATACCATCATCCGATGGTCGCACGTTATATCACATAGTGCAATCGTGTCAGAGTTTCATCAAGGCGTTTTTTGAAAAGGGATAGGGTGGGAGCGTTAATTACATGTTCTGGAAGGGCGTTCCAAGGTTGTGACACTCGGAGGGAGAAGAAATTGCGTCGACATTCCAGTCGACTGTACTGTGTGATCAACTTAAACTGATGACCTCTTAGGGATGCGTTTTGACTACGTTTCAAAAGGGAATGACACGTGTGGTTGGGGGTTCTCAGTATCCGGTACACCAATATGAGATCGCCTCTCAAACGACGGTAACGTCCACTATATAAGTTAAGAGTTTTCAGCCTGAGTAGGTAGGGAAGGCTGGAAAGACCTTTGACGTATTTTGTCGCTCTGCGTTGGGCAGTATCGAGTGCAGTGAGGTGGCACTTCTGCCATGGTTGCCACGCTTGAATAGCGTATTCTGTGTGCGGTCTAACAAAAGCGCTAAGCATTTTCGGAAAGATTGAGGCGTCAAACTTCCTAAACGCTCTACGCAGAAGGCCAAAGTGTTGGTTTGCTCTCTTGGAGGCCTTTTCGGTCTGCATTAAGCACCCAAGATCTTCTTGTACAAGCACGCCAAGATCGCACTCATGAGAGGTCCGCTGTAGAATGTCAGGTCCTAAGCGGTAGTTATACGCACTCTGATGGCGTATGCTCAAGATTTTGCACTTTGTGTTGTTGAACTGTAGCATGTTCTCGTTTGACCACTTGTATGCTTTGTCCAAATCATCCTGCAAGGCTGCGTGATCCTCTCCTGAAGCTAAGGCACGCCATATCTTCAGGTCATCTGCAAACAGCAGAAAGTTGGAAGATAGTGCAGCTGCAAGATCATTTATGAAAACAATGAACAAGCGAGGCCCGAGTACCGAGCCCTGAGGTACGCCACACTGAACTTCGATTGGTTCCGACAGGGTATTTCGGACTCTCACATTCAGGTGACGTTGAACGAGAAATTCGCCTATCCATCCTAGAATAGGATTGCCGATACCACAATGCTGCAGCTTGTTCAGTAAAATCCGATGGTCCAGTCGGTCGAATGCCTTAGAGAAGTCCAAGTAGGCTACATCCACTCCGACTTCGGCGTCCACAGACTGTCCAGTTTGAACGGGCAATCAGCAAATTAGTTGTGCAGGACCTGCCTTGGCGAAATCCGTGCTGCTCCGGAACGAGGATGTTGTTTTTCTCCAGGTACTCCATGAGGGCCTCGGCTACAATGGACTCCATGATCTTGGAGATTACCGGAAGAAGGGTGATCGGACGATAATTAGTTGGATCTGCACGACTACCATTTTTGTGGATTGGAGTGATGATCCCGTGCTTCCACATCGTTGGGACGTGCATCTCGTTAAGGCATCGCTGAAAGAGTGTCGCCAAAGGTTCAGCTAAGCTCGTGGCGGAAACTTTCAGCGCTTTCGGCCGAATGCCGTCCCCACCCGGGGAGCTAAATTAGCGCAACGACATCAACCGCTTCAATACAGCTGCAGTTGTGAAGGAAATGTGGTTAAGGCCTGATGACGGAATAAGTTGCCTAGATATGGTGCAGGATGTTTGCACACACTGGAAAGTGCGGCCGAAGTGTTGTCCTAGGACGTTCGCCGCATCCTGTGCCGTATGTGCTAATCCGAAAGCTGTGCGCAGAGCCGGAATTCCGCGCTTAACGCGGCGAAGCTTATTTATGTGTCTGTATAGTAGCTTTGGGTTAACGCAGAACTTTGACACAAGATCTTGTTGGCTCTTTACCTTATCCTCCCTGCCGAGTGTGACACAGTGGTTTCTTTGTGTGATATAGGTGTTCCAAGTATCCTCGCTGGGAGATGCTATATGGGCGCGCCATGCCAGATCCCTCAATCCCATGCATTTCCGGGTCCTGCTTCTGAGAAACGACTTCGCCTTGTCGGGTCGGGGGATTTTGGTTTTAGATGCCAATGCTACGAGCGTGTTGAATTTGTTGACAAACTTCCCGCATGCCACTTCTGGGGACCACTCAGTTAAGAAGGACCAGCTCGTAGCACTAGTGCGTTCTGTCAGTTTATCGTAGTTGGTTACGACGTAAGATTCCACGTTGCTTTCATTAGGATAATCTGCATAACACAAGTATTGGAACAATGGTGTCTCATGATCGCTGCGGCCCAAGGGAGTGGATGTGGTTACTACGT